TCGAAGCAAGATTCAGGCAGCATCTGCATTTCGATGGTTCTCCAGCCATCTAGGCCAGGGGCTGCATCTTTCCTCCGGCTTCTAACAACTTCCCTGAGAGCCCTTGCAGAAATGTCGGGCACCGGATAGTCAACAGCAAAACGATGAATGTGAGGCCAGACAATATCCAACATTTTCAAGGGATGGGGAAACCCGAGATTGGCACTGTAAACCTCATCCCATTGGGAGTTGATCTCCGCAATGGCATCAGCAGGTGCTGCGATAACATTGCCAGAGGGATCAGTGACAAGGTTCGGTGGCTCCTCGGTTGTTTTGTTCTTCAAATGCCTATAGACAAAGGCGGACCCAATGCGAGCCGAGTCTTGAATTTTGTCTTTCCAACGCTGGATGCGTCGGAGCTTAAGCTTGATTTCATAGGTGGCAAGTGCATCTTGCGTCCATTGGATTGCGGTAACAATTTCGACCAACGTAGGCCACGAATGGCAGGGCCACAAGCATGGTGCGCGCAGCTTGAACAATCTAGTCCATGCTTTGGCGATGGTTCTCCAAGCAATGACATGTCTGATTCCTGACGAAATTTCCTGCGAATGAAATGCTTGTATCTCCAGGAGGCCTTTCAAGGCATTGATGAGCCAAGAACTGCGTGAGGTAGTGGCGATACCTGAACGACACTGACCTGGGCAGACGTTTTTGGGGCGGGTCTGGACAAGAACACCTCTATGTTGGGGACCAGGCCCCCATGTTGCACCTGCCCGGGTAAGGGCATCTACACATTGCTGGTTGGCTTCCCGCCAGATTTGGTTGACATCAGAAAGGTGGTGCAAGCCGGAAACATCTTCACAAGTGCTGTCACTCGAAAAGGAAGGGGGAAAAGCGAAGGGAGCAGGTTTGAACAAGGTAAAACCTCTCTGCCAAACAACCTTCCAATTGAACGAGGCGCGAACAGGCCGGTGTTGGACCCGGAGGTACGGCAAGACCTCGGCATTGGTAAGGGCTGCTGTTGCAACAGAGTTTGTAATGATCCCATCAATGCTACTGCATCCGTCTCCAGGGCCTGTGAAGCACCCATTTGATGAAAATGTAAGTGGTCTGAACCCTCCATCCTCATCCGCAAACTGCAAAACGTCACACCACTGGTGAAAGTGAACAGCATGCGTAACCGCAGTGTAGTGTTCAGGAGCAACTTGGAAATCACCAGCTATGACAACTGGGACATCGCCAAATTGGCTTGCAACTGTAAAGATGTCCCTGAGGATGTTGTCATTAAATTCCAAAATTGCCTTGTCGGCAGAAGCACCTGTTTTACCATAGAAGGAGAAGGCCAGCAATTTGAGAGTGGGCTGAACTTGGACCCAGCACGCAGTAACCCGACGTGTTGCAAAGAGTTGGTCGTAAAGCCCAGTGGCATCTTCTTGTGGTCGAAATTCTGTGGCAAGTTCTCTGGCAGCAAGAATGGCCACACCTCCGTGGGGCGTTCTTGTCACACCATGCGTTGATAACAACCCGGGGAGAGGGCGGCCATGAAAGAGGCATGTGCCATGTTGCTCAACAGTCTTGGAAGCGTGGTGTAACCCGTAAGTGCCAATGCGCGTTTCTTGTAAACAGGTGACATTGGCTTCGCAAGTTCTCCAGGCTGTAGACGTCTTGAGGGACCCGATATTGATCGTCGCAATCGACCAAAGCTGGGAATTGACTGGACCCTCTCCCGGGAAGCCCAGGGTGTGGTCAAAAGCAAAGCGCAAACGAAAGTCATAGGCTTTCTTCCAAGAGAAGGAAACCAGAAGAAAACCAGAAAATGAAGCACCTAAGAAGGGCACCACGAAAAACCGACATGGATGACCCGAAGCGAGGCGAGCGCAAAATGCACCCTTTTGGACGGCGCTGCACGAGGTTGTGTTGGTGACTTCTAGAACAGCCCTCCGAATTGGTGATCCAGCAGGCCACACTCAGAGAGCACAAGTGAGAGTGGCTTGCCAGGGCAGGCCCACGGCCACAGATGGACACACAGACAAAGACCGAAATCGCAGAGATAAAAAGACGGAAAGTCCATTGCGGCAAGGGGTAGCCCATTATCAAGGAAGCAACGATTGGCTTCGCACGAAAAGCAAATTGAAACATGAGCATCAGACAAGGATGCAACCCAAAAGGAAACGGCAGGGCACAGACACATGGCCAAGTCCAGGCCTGCATGACAGACATGGGACACGAGAGGCGGGTGACCAAGAGCCACCACAACACGATGTTGCGCCCTGCGCGGGCATGTCACGACATCTTGGGCATCTTGGAGGGAGGTGTCTCCCCCGTCTTCTCATGGCTGCGAGAAGTAGACATCTGGAGAAGCTGCCGGAGCGTGTCACTGATGTCATCAAACCGGCTGTCGAGCTTCGTTTCCATGACACTCTGCTTCTTTTCGATGCCCGTGACCTGCCCCTGGAGAGTGTCGAATTTGGCTTCGAGTGCGTCGAGGCGGCGTCGATCTGGATTGAAGGAGGCAGGAGCAGTGACAGAGGAAGATGAAGCATCGGCCTCGTCCTTCTGCTTCTGCTTGAAGGATTTCTTGGATGGCTTCCCTTTCCCTTGTCCCTTCTCAGTGGCACTCGAAGGAGTTAATAGGATTTGGAAGAGCTCCCCATTGATCTTCACGGTAAAATCCGATGCTTTGGGAGGTGCTTCGAATCCCAACTGCCACACATGCACTCCTGCGGAGCGGAATGTGCGCGTAGGCACTGGCGCACTGCCAACCGCTTTGTTCACAGCCTCGACGATGTCAGAAGCAGCCGCACCAGGTGGCCACCCGGAAGAGTCGAGGACAAGGCGTGGCACGACGCTGAGATTGGTTTCTGTGAGCCTTGGGTCGGAAGGCAAGATCTTTTTCCGGACAGTAGCGACATCTTTGGCCCAGGCACGGATGGCCAAGCCCCGCCTCGTGAGCATAACTCCAGCAGCACCAACAACATCCTGGACACTAATGAGCAGCTCTCGGAGACCCTTCTGGTTGATATCCCAGAAGCGCGGGATAACTGTCATGTCGATCATGTTGGTGTTCTTGTTGAGGTAGTCACGGATGAGGATTGACTCAGTGCCACTGATGCCAAGCAGCGTGCCCCTTGCTGACTTGGGGATTTTGATGACGATTTGCAGCATGTCATCGCCCCTGCCGGCGGAAGGATGGTGGTTGTGCCGAAAGCCATAAAGCGTCACTTGGTCCTTGATCGAGGGGACATGCTTGATGATGTAGTCCTTAAAGAAGGAAACAGGACTCGCAGCCGCAGTGTCGAATTCCGATTTGGAGGTAAGTCGACTGTCAAGTTCAATGACCAACTCGGCGATTTCCGAAGTGGAAAATTCGCACGCAGGCTCTTTCAGGGTGAAGGCAAAGCGACCCGAGATCGGGACCGCGTGCATGACGCGTTTGAACGTCTGGTGCACGGCTTTGTCATGTAATATGACTTCGAACGGTCCAGCGACGGAGCTGCCCAGAGCGCTTCTGGAGGCGTCATCGAGCTGGGGGAGCAGAGCAACCAGCGTCTGCTTGGTGCCAAGTTTGGCCAGGTCTGGAAGGTGCTGTTTTGTTGTAAGGATGACACCACTGTCATGCCCGGTGACCTGCAACCGGTGGAGCTGGGGAAGGATAGCACCCTTCTCGTCGTGGAAGGGGTGTGCCTTTTCGAGGACGAGGTCCTCCCAGCGGGAGGGGCTGCTCTTGCGTGCCCAGGGGTCGTTGATCGACAGGGGATCGACCGCAGCTCCTGTGTTGGCCTTTGCCTTGTTCTCGATGGCACCTGCAGCTGCAAACTGTGAAGGAAATCTGCCTTCATCGATGCGCAAGAGGTGTTGGATCAAGCCCGTGGCGGCGAATGAACGAAGCTCTTGTGGGATAGTGAGGCCCCACTGCAGAGCGGCATGCTGCTGAATCCAAATGTACCAGGGAGCCTGATTGCTGTTCCTCAAGGTGTTCAGCTGGGAGGGGCTCGGAGCTTGCATGATGGTGCCAAAACGCCGATAGATTGCGAACAACAGCGTCCACCCACAGACATGAGTGGGAGGATTGTGCGAAACAAAGTGGGTCCGTAACACTGTGTCAGCCGGGATCAAATTGGCAGCAAGGTCATTGGCAAGGCTCTGAGCATGTGATCTGAGAACTTCCGGTGCATAGACGACAATGCTGTGTTCCCAACTCTCCTGGTGAATCTCGCACTGGAGCCAATGACTGTCCCAGTTGAGGAAGAGCAGCACAGACGTGAACCCGGAGATGTCACACTTGTAGTCATTGTAGAAGCTGATCGTGTGGTGGAGCCGGTTCCATTGAGGCCTGGCGGCCTGGGTGTTGAAATATAATCAAGAGCCTATATACATTCTCTCCTCTACCCCAAATACCAGTCTGCTGCGAGGTCTTTTGATTAGAACCCTCCGTGTCTGTCGGGGAGTATGTGCAGCGAGACCTTGTGAGAGCGCAACCCAAGAGTGAAGTCGAAGTCATGAAGGGGCTCAATCTTGAGGGCCTCTCTCAACATCCACATTTGGGCCAATGCAACTGACCCCTCAGACTCCGTTTCTGTGGAAAATAAAGGTGAACCAAGCTTTCTGCTTTCTTGTGGAGTGGAGTGTCCCCAATCCCCCCCAAAAAAGGCTCAAGGTTATCCACCTACTTCCTGGGTAAGCACAGTTTGGGCATGCAGTCTTCCGTGGAAACAGCTTGTCTGTCTGAATTCTCATTATTTTTATGTTTTTTCTTCAGCATCCCGCAAATAGAAATCCTTCTCCAATGTCTTAAAAGAAATGCTTTATGCTTGTGGACAAATTCCCATATAAATAGGAAGGGTAGGAAGTGGTTGACTTCTTGAATTGCCCAAACTTTAAGGAAGAATTCCACACTCCACATGCAATCGAACGCCGTGCAGTCGCACCCCATTGAGACTTTTTCCAAAATCACTGAACCTGCGTGGCTGGACAAACAAACGGTTGATCTTGACTGCCCTCACCCGTCTAAGAGTCCGCACTGCGGCGTCGTGGCCTCGAGTTCGGGAAGCACGTCATGTATGTTGATCTACTCGGACAAATGAAGTCTGACATGTAGAAGGTCACTTGATACGTCAAAAATTCGATGGCCAGGAATCCCCGAAAAGGAAAACCAAAAAAGAAATCATCAAGCGAACCCTTCTTCTGGTCACCTTGATTGGATATTGGACCCCTTGCACTGTGTGCGCGCCTCATTCCAGGACAAGAGTCACTGACAGGAAAGTGGAACATGGTCCCTTGGAAGACTACTTTCCTCTACGAGCAGAGTTTTTTGTTCCACTTCCATGTTGGTGAATCAGAGTGTTTTTTCGGTGTCCATCACGCTTCCTCTGCCAGCGAAGCATAAACTTATACCCAATCGGGCGCCCCATGCGATTCCGATTTCCACGGATTGAAACCTTGAATTTGCCCGCCACCTTGCAGTATTCGGATTGAGGGACTGGACTTGTAGCAATACAACGTTTCCGTGGAAAAGAAAGGAAAAAGTCCAATCTCACAAGAATGGAATTTGGAATGGATGTTCCACCTTCACCACCTTCAGGCGAGGCGGTTGAACAAGAAAAAAACCTTTCCAAAGCCATTCAGAATTCACTGACTTTGGCCTCCAAATCCTCTCTGCACTTCACTCACCGAAAGGCCTTCTCATCCGATGCTTTGGACCTTCCACTCAGCACCCAGTGTGCACCCGCGTGCCCACTCCGCGCGACGGGGGGGGCGGAGTTCGTTGAGCGTTTTTGGGGTGCGAAACCAAACCCCCAAGACCAAATTAAAGGTTATCTGATCATCCGCACTGACTGGGCAAGTGAGATTGTTCTTTGGATGCTTTGGGGATCCTTTTGGGTACCCTTCTCCACCATTTCCGCTGTGGGAAACCGCTGGCACGTCGTGTTTCGGAATCTGGCAGAATCCGGACGGCTTCGTCCATCGGCGTCGACTGGACACGGAGGTTCCCTGGAAAGGAGGGAAACTCCTATTGATTGAAAAGAGACACTCTAAAGATCTTCAAAAGCTGCATTGAAACCACAAAGACCAGAAGAAAGACAGCATGGGGAAACACATTGTTTGGGTAGCTTTCCATGTGTGTCCCACTACCTGCCTGAGAAGCTCCTTCGTCGCTTCAAGTAACCCTCTCCATTCTACTTTGTCTTCTTTGGGGACGACCGAACCGCCACATGTTGATCAAGGTAGATGATGATCAACAAGGACCTGTAGAAAGCAAGAAAGCCTTACCAATCGAACAAAAAGGAATAGAAGACCAGCCGCGCAGCCAGGAGTAGTTCTCGGCATACCCCACGCTTGTCCACCATTTACTGTGGGTTTCTTAGCTGGTCACAGTTCTGCACATACAACCTGTTTCCTGATCGCGTTCACATGGAAACTGCTGCGAAGTGCTCAGCTCAGATCCCAAGCTTCTCCCGCGAAAAACTCCCCCCAATCCCAATCCGCCTAGCTTGAATAGATCTTGATATATCTGTCATCCTATATAGGTGTCTCATCTGATAAAAACCATATAAAAACTGTGAAGAACTATGAGGTGAATTCCAAGATCATTCCAGATCTTTTCCAGATCGACTCGGTCTCCGATGGTCGAACACCATCCGTTCGAACACCATCCCCTCGCCTCTCCACGAACATCCCTTCGAGCTCACGGACCTGGCCCAACAACGATCGGTTTGAGGTGAGGCCCCGGCGAGCTATACATGTTGGGATTCTTGCCGCCACCTTGCAACAGGTGGATAGTGGATGAAGATGAGGATGCAAATGACGAGGATGAGGATGAGGATGAAAATGAGGATGATGACGATGAAGAAAGCTCTCTCTAGGACTCTCTATCCAAAATAAAGTCCTTGGATGTCCTTGGTGTCCCACTCTTGGGTGGCAACCTCCGATTTCCGACCACCTTTCCAAAAGACTGTCCCTGAAGCTGGTCCCTAGTAGGGCTCCGGTAGCAGAGGATTCGAAGTTCCTCATCCAAAAGCAAGCGAAAGGTCTTATGGGTCTTGTATGAGTCTTATGTCTTAGCTGAGCTTTTTGATGATGAATGTCAAGCCAAATGAATCGAATGAGTTTCTTCAGATCCCTTCTGATCAAGTCAGACCCTTGCTTGGGAGAATTGCATGATATGGGTGTGCAGCTCAACTATAGACACACCCGGTAGCCACCAATTCGGACCCCCGGTAGCCTTCGGGTCTCCTGCTTCCAGTCCCTCCAATCACCCATCTCCAGAAATCCGCCGATCCGCACCCGCTGGTTGCTCTCGATGATGACCTCACGAAGCTTCTGTTCCAAGTCTTTGGCCTCCTGCGGCCACGGACGATCAACAACGCACGAGTCACGGAGTGTTCCCTGACCACACCACGGTCAGGGTGATGTTGGTGCAGATGAGTTGGTGCAACTTCTGAGAGCTTGAACGTGGCAGACATAACAGTGACAGGTGGAATTCAATAGTTCTGTTATTATCTATACCAGGACCATCCAATGCGTGTCCAATGGAGATCCCCAAGTATAGTGTAGAGTATCCATTGGACACCCATTGGATGGTCCAGGTAGGATTCTTATGGCTCTTCATGGCAGGGTTCGGACCCGATACCTGAGAAAAGGGGTCTGGACCCGAACCAAACCCTGTGTTTGACGGCCCGGGTTCTTGGGGATGTCAGCGGCTTGCTCTCGGAGCCAGACGAGAGCCAACGAAGACGCGAAGACGCAGTGCGAAGACGCAAACGTACATTGCTTTGGACCGCACCTGGGCAGTGCAGCCGGTGGGTCACAGGCTGTGTAAAGCAGGGACCAACACTTTCAGTTGACGGCGGACTCATTCGCCTTTCCGTTATTCTCAGCCAAGGTCAAATTGCACTAATCTTAAAGGGCTACTGCACTCGTTGATCCAGTGTCTGAAGTTATGCTCATTCACTTGAGCTTATATTCCAAGTGTGTCGGTGAATTCACATTCCATGTTGTCCGTGAAGTGAGGTTACCCCATGGCCGCAGAAATCCAAGGGGTGATGTTTGGTGCGAAAAGTGGTGTGTTTGGACGCTTGGGCGTTTCTTGTTGGCAGGCTCGACCAAGATCCACACCCCAAGGGTTTCATGACTTTTGGAGCCGAAGTGAGATCATCTGAGAATATGGGCAAGTCTCGAGTCTGACTCACCAAATCACACATGATCAAAAAACATGATTAAACATGAAACACCGCAGTCATGAAGTCCGACTCGGAGGCTCCCAAGTTCGGACGGAACTAGCTCATTGGAGCAGAGGTGCTGCACTCGTGCTGCTTTCGGACGACGGAGCTGTACGCGTTTCGGCGCGGTTTTCAGGGACTGCTCGGGTCGCCACCCACCCCTCAAGTCGTCCAGAGGGTGAACGATACCGCTCGGTGTTTCTGGCTCACATGCGTAGAGTCTAGACCTCTAGATTCAGATGTATTCAGATATATTCAGATGTATTTCATGCGCATGTTTTGATGTGTTTCAAACGCTAGTGACGGCAAGCACCCCGTGCAAGATCAATGACTCCATCGTTCAGATCCGTGGACGGTGAGTGGACGGTCGCCGAAAGCCATGTCACCAATCGAGTGGAAACCTTGGTCTGGCGAACGCACATCAACGCGGATCGATAGGATCTATGGGCCCTTCCAAATCAATCCAAATCAGCTTCTTTCGCGAAAAGAAACACTTCCGCGGAAGGCTCAAGCCGTTGAGCCCAACGCCCGGCGGCGCGGCACACAACCATCGGTCCTGGTGGACCTCCCGCCAGGTGGCCCTGGAGATTGCGACCGTCGCGACCCGGTCGCAAGTGACCCGTGCGGCGGTTCAAAGGTGGTGCAGCGCAAATCTGCATGAGTAGAGTCATGAGAGTCTGAGTAGAGTATTTGTTGTTTTGCATCGAAGAGGTGGGGAAAGACCTGTGGGGGGAAAGAAATCATGTGAGGTCATTCCGAAAACCACGAAATCGGTGCTCCCAGTGGACCCGAAGAGAGGTCGAGCTTGTGATGCGGTGTGGAGAGAACGAGGACTTGGAGCCCAATGGGTCAGAGACTTGGTGAGAGAAGTCTCATTGCTTGGGAGAGAGTTATGAGAGTTTGAGAGAATGTGGAGGACTTCATTCATAAGCCGCCCTAAACTTGAGGAGGGTTTGTTGCGGGTTCGATTGACATGGATTAATCTGGGAGCTCTAATTTGTTCACGTACTATTATACAGACCCCAAAATAGATAGAAAAGAACATCCCCACTCAAAAAGTCCTGGTTCCCCGTGCCACGGTCATCTATGTAAGGGGGGCCCACTATAAGATGATTTGGGGTCTTCAGACGCCTCGGGGTTCAACGATCCATCACCAGCGCGTTGCGGAGCGAAGCAAAAGTCGACTCAACGCGAGTCGACTCAGCAGGTCAAGTCGGAGAAAAAGAAGAGAGTATCTTCGTTTTTGAGGTCAAGGGAGAGGCGGAGGTTGTATGAAGTGGTTCTTAGGAAAGGTCTTATAAGCTTACAGTAGTTGATTCTTTTTGCCACCTCACCAGAGATGTCTTTAATCATTTGAAAGATTAAAGCTCATGAAAGCTCTGTGCTACTTTCTCCTCCTCAACCCGCATTGTTTCCAACATAGGAGACCCTCCCAACTACGACCCCCGCACCCCAAAGGCCTCAATATCAACCCACCACCACCCGAGTCGGGACCCAACCTCAGAGCCGTCACGGACGTGGACCTCCGCGGCGAAGGCGAAGCCGCCGTGTGGCGAGGAGAAGCTGCCTGGCACAGGTGAGTGGTCGGTGGTCGGCAGATCAGCGACGGTTTCGGTGAAGCCGAAAGGAAGGGACCGTGTGTGTTTTGACCACCAAACTTGGGGATTGTATGGGATTGTTCATGATTGTTCTATCTACTAAACCACTCTGGGTGTTCTTTCCTCTGCCACTCTGGGTATTTTTGGTGCAAGTTGGTGGGCAGAATCTGGTCAATGTTGGAGCGCCGGATCCTGGAGTCTCGAAAAGACACCTTCATATATCGTTGAAACAGATTGAAACCAATGCTTCACGACTTCGGTACTTCAAGCAGCATTGGCACTGTGGATATCCACAACCTTTGCCAGAAGGTTTCACTCAGTGTTGTTGATATCGATATCTGTCTAAAAAGTATCATGCTTCAGATCTCCGAACCAAACGCCCACTTTGCCACTAGCACCGGGTCCACGAAAGCCCAGCGCAGCAGTGAAAGCGCCAGCCCCACCTGGCACGATTCGAAGTCCGGATCTGGTGAAGCGTCCAGGGCATGGGAGACTGTGAACTTCGAACTCTGTGAACCACAGAGATTGAAAGAGGCATGTGAGGCATGTGAGGCGTGTGTGTTTTCACAGGGAGGACCCCCCTGCTTCTCTCTCGCCCCTCGCTATAGATGGGTCTCTCTTTCCCGAGACGCGAAGACCCAGGGGTCGGAAGGCCACGCCACGCCACAGGGCGGTTGGTCTCCCCGCTGTAGCAGCTGCTACACACCCGGATATACCAAACGACCCATCCAACATCGCACAAACCTAAGTGTTGGACAGCGAAACAGCTCCAAGTTCGACGCGGATCGCCGTGCAACGCTGCGCGGATCGTTTTGTCCAAGTCGACCGATGAAAGACCGGACGTTGGTCGTTGGTTCTTTTTGCAAAAGGATGTGAACCCACAACCACGTGCAGCGAAACCATGAATCAGTCCAAATGCGAAGAACACGCAAATGAAAAGTAACGGTGTTTGAGGGTCCGACCCCTGCTATGGAGGGTCGAAGGATTGTCTAGGCAAATGCTAAGAAGCTTCAAGAAACAAGGTTCTGCATAGGCAACACGAGCCTGTTATGCCTACCATCCCCTGCGGTCCCGAGCATGGAACATGAGTGTATAACTCTTCTTCTCATCTACCACCCAGTGGTTTTCAGGGTCCCAATGGTTCAGGAACACAAGCTGAAGCAACCAGCAAGGCCCAGCCAGGCCGGTGCCTGCACAGCATGTCGCATGCGGGGCATGGTCATGGCCGGTTCATGAACGAGCGTGTGTTGTTTTGTCGAAGTTGTTCATGGCCAGGCAGGTCTCATGACCAGGAGTCTAGCTGGTCCATCGAGGCCTGGTCTCGGTGTTTTGCTTCAATCTGAGGAACTCATGAAAGCAAAACAAATATCCCTCATGAAATATGTTCCCACGGCATGTCCTCCACGCAGGCGGTCAGGCACGAACGACTGCGATCGCCGAGCTCGAGGATTCGCTCACCGAGCGCCTAAAAGGGCTACGTTTGACCAGCTTCGTTGGTGGGTCTCGGTGTTTCCCTGTGGGGAGCTGGGCAGCTGTTCCTGCAGGCTGGGATAGGCTGGGAGTGTTTGAAGTGTCTTCGTTCGGTGTTTGAAGTCGAAGAGCGGATCTTCGGTATGTTGCGTATGTTTGAGGCACCGTGCTGTTTCATGCACCACGTGAGAAGACGGTGTTCTGTCCAGTCAGCATGAACATGTGCAAAAGGCATTGAGAACTGAAAAGGCTTGAGACAAAGTCACGGCCGCAATGCGTCTGGATCTGCTTTGGACATCCTTGTTTCAGAAAGAAAGGGTGGCTCCGGACAATTTTAACCGAGAAAGAATGGTGTTCGGAAGGTTAATTTGATCGAGTTCCTACTGACCCCGGAGCCGTCTCCGGGGAAAATAGAGGTTATAAAGCTTTTTCAACTGTCCACCTGTTTCTGTTTAGCTGAGAAACCAATCCCGCAAAAAAAGGTCAAAAGTTTTCCACTGACTGGTAGGCCTAAGTTGTCCTACGCCGCTCCAGCGAAACGTACTCAGTGGCACAGTTCCCTCTTGCTCCGACGAAAACATTGCCTTCTGAAATAAGGGTTAGCTGATGTCAATTCTGTAGATGTGTAAATAAACCCTCACCAAAAAGGGAAACTCTTTTCCTAAGGGTCATGTCATATCTCAAAACAAGTTACGATAACACTCATCATGGGAGTAGTTCCCATCTGCAAACTGAGGTATTGTTACGCCGGGAACCTTGTCTCACGGCTCCTGCCGCCCCACATTTTTCTGCCAAAGGCTGGGACGCCGCGTTCACTGCGCTTTGCGCTTCGACGGCACATGGACCAGCGCTCAGCTGTTCCTGGTGCGGCAAGTATCGACCATGGTGAGCAGTTCGTCATGCTGGGTCATATATGAAGATGGGAAGAGGCTAAAGTTAAACGAAAACCGTCAGTGTAAATAGGACTGTGTGAATTGTTGGTCGTTCTAGACGAAGGGGCACTGTTGACGATACATCTGTCGTTGGCTTTAAGCGACCCGCGTAACAGAAACATTGAAGTTGCAGAGCATAAAAGCACGCGCGCAAGAAGACTATGACAAAGAACCACACAGAAGCGTCAAAGAACTATTTGCATGTGACCAAAGATTCCTAAGGCACATGTAGACTCACTGAATCCATGTCCTTCGTCGGTCATTTCCACCGCCTGCATCAGCTTCAGAAGGTTTTGCCCATCAGCAGAGTCCTCAAGGTGAACCGGCTTTGGGGAGATACCACATGCACTCTGACGAACACAGAAAACATGGTTACGTGGATGGCCTGGCACCTTGGCAGACTGCTTTCCTTTACGAACAGGTGGTGAACTCCACGACACCGTGTGACGTGTTCGTCGGCTGTGAAAACTGGCTGCCTTTACGAACAGGTTGTGTGCTCCATTGTGCGGGTGCTCACAACCCCTCCCCCTGGGAATACAAGACGACGACGACGACGACAACAACAACAACGGTGGCTTTCGCTGCTCCATCTGCCAGGCATGGCAGATGGAGCTGTGATCCTGATCCACACAAGGCCTGCTGGGGGGGGGAATCACATGTGAGATAGTTACAGCCAAAACTTGGTAGAAGATCAGTTGCAATCCCCCACTAAGCCATCTATGTGGGGAATGAGAATCCACCACACACTCAATGGATCTCAATGGTGCTTTCGTGTCAAGAGCCTGTTGTTTGCCAAAAAAAGCACACTGGATACTGGATACTCGACCCAAAAAGCGGAGACACCTGTCGGTTTGCCTTCGTAAGAGCCCGTGATGGCCCGTTCCTTATCCCTTTGAACCCCAAAAGAGCAGGTGATTTTGGACTTTGAGAGTTCTCCATCTTCTCCTGTCAGCCACACGTCGGGTTTCCCACTTCGCCTGGGCAGTTGTGCTGGAAGAGTGGGCTGCACTTTGGCAACCTGCGCTGTCCGGAGCGGAGGCTACGGAGGCTACGGAGAGTGTGGCTGCGGAGGGTCGGTCTGGTCAAACTCACTCCCTCACTCGCGGCAGGTGGACGGTCGCGTCGGGCGACCACTTGGTGGGTCACGATCCATCCCCATAAAGGTGGTGAAGAAATAAGGAGTGGCCCGTAGTTTCTCGTTGGGCCACAGGTTTTAGGGCTTCTTGATGGCTTGTGTCCTTTCTTGTTGAGGGTTGGATGGTTGGGTTTGTGGTGGGACCCTGCTCTGGACCAACTCGGTGGGGCACCGCACACAATTAAACAAACATCTCGTTTAGGAACTGCTGTAAGAAAGATTGAACAATTGTTCTAAACAATCTAAAACACCAATAGAAATAGAGTTTAGCAGCAAAACACCAATCCATACCTTCTATATCATTCTATATCCTTCTATACTGGGCATTCTACTCGGATCCGGCCTTCGTCCCTCTCCATGATTGAATGCCCCCCCCCGTTTTTCGTTCTAATTCCAAACCTCATTCCGAACCTCCAAAACGTCGAATTACACCAGCGGTCGTCCGCTCAGGTCGTCCTCTTGGTGCTCGTCCGAGGGAGTCCGGACTCGGCGGCTGACGCACCGTGACTCGGGGACCGAGGGGCGCGGAACTGGGACCCCGCGTCACAGACTCACTCCGAAAGGCGACGCGGAGCTGGTGGGTTTTCGAGGTCAACACCTGCAACCTGCGACTTCGAAACACGAATTGGACGATGGAACCCCAACGCCTACCCGAACTTGGTCGTGTCGGACGGAACACATCGTGTTTGGAGCTCCAGGATGACTCAAAACATGGGTCTTTCGTGGTCTTTCTGTCAAAAACATCCGTCTTTCTGTCGGTTCTCTAGGTAATTAGACCATCTGAAGTCTTGCTCGAAGTCTGGCGAACCGAAGCTGGATTTGCCTACGACACGACCGGTGGCGTCTCACCATGTCACCGGCAGCCGTTCGGGACGCATCGTTTTTCTGATCTCCGCCGTATGTTTCGAAGGAAAGCGAGATTGGAGCTATCCAAACTGGCCGTAACTAGCCGATGAGCCAAAGAACAAGACAGACTTACAGTAAGAGTTATTCATAGTTGTACTATGCTGTACTGAAATACAAGGTGAGTCCCAGCAATACTTACTTTGATCAATGATTATCAATCAATGTACAGTGTTTCTTGTGTCTGACATTCCAAATTGTCACAATGGAAGGCGCGTTCAGAAAGAGATGAGTGAGCCCCCCCCACACCCACAAAGGATCATTTTTCCATGTTGTGTTGAATGGGCCAAACACGCAAAGCATGAAAACCAATGGCAGCTTGACCGGACAGCTGCCAGAAGCTCTCGAGCTCCAGTTTTGGGGGGCTGGGCCACCTGACACTGGAGGAAGGATTCACGGCGAATGGAACATGTAGACATGTGACTAATAAGAACCCCCACGCAGAGATCTTCTGGTAGGAGGGCTTTGCTGATCAGCAGCATTAGAGTTTAACATCTGGCCCAAAAGGGTCGGCGTAGTCTGAGGGTTTTGCCCATCCGTACGGGCCGACCTCCATGCAGACGGCTGTACGTTATACACGTCACCATACCTCCATCCGTACGCGTGAAGGATTGGGGAGAAACTCTGTCGGACTGATTCTTCTTCAGTTCGCCGCAAGTATTCGGTCAAAAGAACACTGTCGTTCCGATGATGTTCAGCTTCAAAGCACCTGCACGTTCAGCCACAGCACGTTCGGCCAGCAAGGAGCCCATGCTTTCAGCAGGTGCAGAAAGCCCACCCGATGAAGGGAAGGCTTTCCCTGCGACAGCGACATACCTAACAGAGGATTTCTCTGTGAAAACTGTGAGACCACACCTGCCGGCCAAACCAAGGGTTTAGAATCTGTTTAGAAGTTTAGAACCAGTCATGATCAAAAGAAATGTGCAGTGCCACGTTACACAGGCTCATCCCTAGCCGGCCGGGTTCGTCGGTGGACCAACCGGGTGGAGAGAGGTCGTCGTCCCGTAAGAGAGGAAGGTTTTGGGGAGGGAAGAGTGGTGAGGTGTTTTGGGTGGAGGTGTTTTGGGTGTTTTTAATTGTTTTTGGACGGAATTTCTGGTGTTTGACCCCTCGAAAAGTGATGAATCATCACGGACACATCGTTTAGGGTCCCATATTGGTTTAGGGCACCCAACTCCATGGAATTGTTGGGGAACTCGTGTGCATGACGGCGGACCACGCATGATGGGAACAACATGGAACAACTACACCTCTGACGAACGTTCGCCGGGACCAAACCATTGACCAAAAGAAACCCTGGTCCCTTATATATCCATCGCCATTAGGTTGGAGGCCATCGCTATCAGGCTATTAGGGTGGAGGCCATCGCTATTAGGTTGGAGGCCATCGCTACTAGGGTGGAGGCCATTGCTATTAGGTTGGAGGCCATCACTATTAGGTTGGAGGCCATCGCTGTGAGGTTGGAGGCAATCGCTATTAGGTTGGAGGCCATCGCTACTAGGTGGAGGCCATCGCTATTAGGTTGGAGGCCATCGCTGTGAGGTTGGAGGCCATCGCTATTAGGTTGGAGGCCATCGCTATTAGGGTGGAGGCCATCGCTACTAGGAAGGAGGCCATCGCTACTAGGGTGGAGGCCTTTGCTATTAGGTTGGAGGCCATCGCTACTAGGTTGGAGGCCATCGCTATTAGGTTGGAGGCCACAGCTAGTAGGTTGGAGGCCATCGCTAGTAGGTTGGAGGCCTTCGCTATTAGGTTGGAGGCCATGGCTATTAGGTTGGAGGCCATCGCTACTAGGGTGGAGGCCATCGCTATTAGGTTGGAGGCCATCGCTATTAGGTTGGAGGCCATCGCTACTAGGTTGGAGGCCATCGCTATTAGGTTGGAGGCCATCGCTACTAGGATGGAGGCCTTCGCTATTAGGTTGGAGGCCATCGCTATTACGTTGGAGGCCATCGCTATTAGGTTGGAGGCCCTCGCTATTAGGGTGGAGGCCATCGCAATTAGGTTGGAGGCCCTCGCTATTAGGGTGGAGGCCATCGCAATTAGGTTGGAGGCCCTCGCTACTAGGATGGAGGCCATGGCTATTAGGTTGGAGGCCATCGCTACTAGGATGGAGGCCTTCGCTATTAGGTTGGAGGCCATGGCTATTAGGTTGGAGGCCATCGCTACTAGGGTGGAAGCCCATTCGTCGCGAAGTTCCGCCTGCCCACAACAAGTTCCGAGATGGACCGAATTTCGGACGAAGCCACACATCCTTCTGTTTGCCTCTGGATCTAGCCATGTAGAGAGTTCGATGTTCTTCCTTGAGGACACATCTTCGCCCAACCCCAGTTGCGTCAACTCATCTGAACACCCAGGAGTTGATGACTCATCTGAACACCCAGATTTGGGCTGCGAGCAGGACTTTCGGTCTCGGATTGTGGGATTGGGTGCCGAGAAACAGTGTGGGTCTTCCACACACCGAGAAACGTGGGGCGCTGCGAACAGCAAACTCGAGCGCTGTGAAAGAGACCAAGGACTGTCAAGTAGGGAAGGGCACAGTGTTTCAAGGGCCACAGAAAAGCGGCATTTGCGTACTGACTGTTCCATACATGGTAAGAAAATTCACCCTGTTCCCCCCTTGTAAGGCCATCTTGGACTCAGTCACTCAGCCACCGGTCTTTTCGAGGGATGTGCCCCAGTGAGCCAATTATAAGTTTGTGTTTCTCACAAGCGCAGGTGTCAGGTTACAGCCTGAAGGAGCCCAGGTGTCAGGTTCCTGGACCATCATTGACCAACCTGGGCAAGCCCAGTACCATCTTCAACTTAAAGGCTCATTGTCGATGTTTTACAGCATTCTCAGCTCATGTGCAACACCCTTGATCGCTGACCCCACGTGATTCGACGCACGGCTTGCCGTGCTTCGAGGACGCCGAACCCGGACGACGAAGACCTCGACCCGGACGGCATGAAGAGCCACGTCTGAGGAAGTACTTTGAGCCGAGCCGGCGATGTAAAAGGAAACGGCTATCCGGGTGCACAAATTGGTGGCTTTGAAGATGTGAATCTGTCACAAGCTCCCGCCTACCCTGCAAAGCTTGCAGCAAAAAATTACTCAAAAAGCGTTCCGCAAACTCACACACCAATGTAACGGTCACGAACGCTTCGAACGCGTGCGGAGACCGGGTCATCTACTTCTTTCTGCAGCGAAAAATTGCCTACTAAACGAATAGCATGGAGATCATCTAAACTTATCGAAATTTCTATACCCTAACAGAATATGCATAGCAAATCAGATACCCTCTACGTAGCCATGATTATCACCCTTGCTGTGGAGTTTGCGCCCATGCTCAGGGTACTCGCTGCACAGCAGGATCCGGGTGTCAGGAAGGTCAGCCAGCCTCCAAATGATCCAAACAATTGTGAAAAAAACTGCGAAGAGCAATGGCCTCCACCCTAGTAGCGATCCTAGTGAAAAAGACTGCGAAGAGCATCCGAATCAGCGCAAGGGTACAGTATCCCTGAAGCATCAACCGGTTGCTTGAGGAAATTCCAAGAAAAAACGTCTGACTTTCCTCATGTTCGGATCTCGGTTCCCTCGAGTAAAACGGCGAGTGGGAGAAGGCCGCAACAAGACTCCACAAACACTACTAAATTGACTAAATACAAATGAGTGATGTTTATCACCATCTACATTTCTACATAAAACACAAAAAGAGCCGCATCTGGCAAAATCTTTGGAACGATCCTCTGAGATGGGGGTTGGTTTTTGCAGTGGATATGGATTGCAAAAGTCCCGAGACCGCAGGAAGGTGTTCATAACTTAATGCAGGTTTCGCCTCGAGAGCCTCCCTCTAAGCTACAAGCGCAGGGACTGCCCCTGAAGGGGAATAGTAATGTAAAGTCACGATTAATAAGCTTCCCCTAGTTAATCCGAGCCCACAAGCCCACCGGAAATTGCCCAAACTAAAAGTATTATTCGTGTCTAATTCCCCCCTAAT